GGTGGACTGGTTAACTTCGGTTTGCCTCCGAAAACCGGTGCTTATTTTCCCAATCCAAACCTGATGGGATTCGGCTATGGTTATCCTCCTCCACCGACAGCACCACCAACCCATCCGCATGCTCTGTTCTCCCCACTGCAGCATAACCCAAATCACAATCCACATCATCATCATCATTCTCACCACCATCCACAACACGGACCAACAGCGGCCGCCGCCGGGCCGCCTCCACCGGGAGGGGCACCAGCACCTCCGTTCGGTCCCATACATGGCAATCCACACCAGCCGGGTTTGTCCGTTACACAGGCTCATGGAGCACCAATGAGTAATCTGACACATTCGTTTGCCCCAGCTCTTTCACCTGGCCTGAGTGCCACTATGTTAATGGGTCATCCGGGACCGGCCGGACCGTACGCGGGTTCGCATCTCACACAATCCGCTAATTCTGCAGTAAACGGAACTGCCATAGGTCCAAGCCAATCGGGGCCAGCTCCACCGCCGCCAATTCCTGGTGCATTGGCCATGGCTTCGATGAACTACTGGCCTAATGCGGCTTCCGGTTTGACCCATCTGTCCACAGCTGATTTTTCCTTAACAACTCATTTGTCTGCTGGAGGTGCGCCGTCCGGTACAAATGGATTCACCACGACTGGTCCAGAACAAACCTCTCCCGAGGGTTTGGCAAGTTCCCATTTGACGAATGGGAACCAACCAAGTGGTCTGTGTAGTGTATTCATGTCCCCGCATTCCGCTACCCCAGCCTTAGGTCGAGTGCACGAAGATGCTATCGGTGGAGGCTTATTGGGTGAATTCGTACCGTGTATGGGAGTGAAAGATCCTAATGCCGGGTCAGATGGTCGTGCACCAAATAATCTTCCTGGCCTCTATGCTCCAACAGCCCCTGGGTCGACCACTTCATCCACATCGGGTGCACTGAAGTTGACAAGCGGATCTCTTCGCACAGGATCTCCACCACCATCACCATCAGCGCATGTAACAACGGCGGTCTCCACAGGCAACGGTCCCTCCGCATCATCTCAACCACCCTCAAGCTCATTCGTCGCGAAACAGGGTTTGAAATCACGTTACTTCCAAAAGGGTAGTAGTCATTCAACATATCCGTCACAAATGCACCCCGGACCAGGTGGCCGAGGTAACCGGAACACCGTTGTTGCCGTAAAAGTTGGGACAAAAGAAAAACCAGCAGAGTTGACAAACGGATCACGCCACTCGGCCTTTGAAGTTCGTGGTAAGAATGGAAACACCGGATCAACTAGTCCAGTGTTAGACAGTGAAGAAAATTTAAAAACATCTGAAAAGAAATTCAAGTCGTCTGCCAAGGTGAAATCAATGGATCCCAGTTGGCAAGATATGGAACGGGAATCGGTGAATAAAGATGGTCGAGTAAGTATTCACAAACAGTTGTGTGCTAGCTTCTTGTATCGTTTCATTCAAACTACAATAATCTTAAAGTTATTGAGACTCATTGATTTGAACTGAATATTTTTCGAATCTCACCTTTGTGCACAATCCTCCGTCCATCGATTCAACCATATATTCGGAAGCACTAGACTCAAGTTTCGCTCTTATTAGAACTCATCACTGGTACATATCCACTGTCCCGTCCGGGATTTGAACTCCGGGCCCATCTCATTGAAGACGTATGTGTTACCGCTGTGCTAACGAGCCCGTGCCAAGACTGAACCGAATTGCTGATTCACGTTTGTTCAGGTCTCGTTTTCAGTGGTATTCGGTTTATTCGCTTGACCCGACAGCAACGAAGGGAGACACATTTGACGATGTGTTAATTCCAATCGAAACCCTCCCACCAAGGCAGGACTTCCGTACAGGTTCTGGGCTGACTTACCGCAAACCTGTCGGGCTCGAACGATTATTCGCATTTAATTCACTGTTATTCTGAGTCATGGTGTGGGATAATTGGTGTTGATTGATTTGAACTGACTATCCTTCGAACTCGAGATTCAGTGTGATACTGATCTAGTTGCAGACAAAACACCCCGTAGCAAAAATATTGCAACTCGTTGGTTTTCTCAATAACTTCATTCACACATTTGTGATCGATCATCATAATTTTGAGAGTGCAGACAACAACCGAGTTGAAATCCTATTGCCATATAACCCGTTGGAAATAACATGTTTCTGCTGATATCATTTCACTTTCTGGTCTGGGATGCCTGTCGGTTGGTGCTTTTCAGTAAGCGGGCAAATGAATGCCGCTGCATGGTGCATACACTTGTTAACTCCGGGAAAAGGGAAAGAAATGTTGTTTCGGAGTTCAAACACCGCTTTTTATTTTGCATTGCACCAGTCTATATTAAAAAATTGAAAAGTTATATATGTACATTTAGATTGCGTACCTTGTGTGTTTACCATAGAGGTTCACTTGCTTCCTTGGTTCCTCAAATAGGTCCATTCCCCGTCCACTTGACATATTCTCACCAAATTTATATACGTTGCGAGTTTGACAGCGGTGAATGAGATTCGATTCACCGTGTTCTACTGTAAGATGATGTTCATGATGTCAATACTGTGCTCGTCAATACATCCAAATCATACCTGCAAAATCCATCTGGGAGAAATTGGTCCTTTCTCCTTATACGGTGAGAGTCGGACTGCTACCCAGCCTTCACGCTCCGTTTCTGTTCTTTCCGCGTCACTCATCGTAGCTGACGAACCTAGGCTGTTAGACGTGTCCACTGACCTGATTGATTCAGGTGCATTAGAATGGTCCCCTATATCAAGAATATTAGGATGAAGGTTGATGAACGCATCATCCGCAATCTGACATATCACAAAAAGGTCAATCCCTTCAGTTGAACCACGAAATGTGTGTGGACAGGCATAGATTTTCGTTCGATCTCCGCTCGCACGGGAAGAAAGTTTAATCATTGTCAGCGCACCAACACGTGGCAATGAATTGAGAAGTTGCCAAATTACGCAACACTTTCCATCATATGGTTGGATCAAATTAAATCGGGGAATGGGTGGTCATGTTGCAGTGCAGCCTTGGATATTGGTGATTTCAACTGATGGTGAAAAACGTAGAAGGGAACACGACTATCCAAACAGAGACCCTTTTAAAGGCATGAATACCGCTTTGTTGAAGATCGAAATTTCTCTTTTCGACCCATTATGAATNAAGGCTGTTGGACTACGTGACCCGTCATTGACTTATATCTAATTTTGATCTAGTTGAAAGACGAATCACTCGCTTGTGGAATACGAACCCTAGCATAGCCGTGAGGTCTATGTGATTGCGATTCAGGACGGATTTCGGGTATCCTGCGCGATTCAGTGACTTGGTTCTACTGAATTTCGACGATGTTTGGCAGAATGGATGTTCTGATGCATATATGAGGTTAATCAGTCAATCACTCATAACTTTATGACTGTCGTCTCAACTGAATGGCGGGGGGGAGGGGGTCTAAACAATCTCTAAGTTTGTCAGTTGTTACTCGGATGTTCTCCTTTAACACAGATATAAAGCGTAGCTGATTGTTTTATAAATCACAAAATATTGTCATTGTTCTGTCAGAGAAGTCTTTGTCACTCTTAGACTTCTCTTTTGCAAATGTTGGGTATATTTGAATTTGTTAAAACCCTGCGTTAGAGTACTTGATTGAGGCTTATAAATATATATATATATATATGTATATATAAGCTCTCTATTTTCTCCTTAGCACTGCCTTTCAAACTTTGATCCTTCTTATATTAATTGATTCAAATCAACAAGCAAAAGACAGCAATTTTAATTGCCACAAAATAGTTCATTGTCAATGGTTGTTTAAACTGAAAATGACCGCTTTGACGTGTCCATATCCGGTCATTATCGTGTGGTCATTTCTTTTCATCTATTTTACACAGCTTTGTATGTGTTATATGAACTTAATATAATGACTTCTTTATTGGTGGATAGTTTTCAAATTGCAACACCTGCGCATTATGTGACTCCAAGGGAGGCGTCATCAACGGAAGACGAATAGAATGGGATTTTCACTGATTCCAATCCCTTTTTCGAAACTCCTCGAAGCTCTTAACACCCAAAACGATCGATCAGTTTTCAATTACTCCCTCGAGTTGATCCACAACAGTTGACTCAAAGGTACAGCAATTTACATTTCGTGTTTTAACTGTTGTGGATAAATGTGGATTTGGAAGTCAGTCTACCTTGCTGCTTTCACTGTTCCGGCGGTAACGTAGTTTGGCTGATTTGGTGCTGGATATCAAACATTAAGAAGCGGTTCTTAGATTGTGTTTGGACGCGACCGGTTCGGGCACATATTCAAAAAGTGTATCAAGCTTGCGCGGTTGAGTCAGGACAGGCTCCTTACACCATGCTAACATGCTACGTACGAATCAAATTCATTCCACTCGGTTGTAAATGAAATGTAATTTCGTGAAGTTGCCTTGTCACCGTCACATTTTTCATTGTTTCAGATAGGCAAATAACTCGCGTAATATGAACGCATCTGGTCTGTGACGTCTTTTCGCGCCCGCTCAATTAGTCCGACTGTGTACAGTCAAGCGACGGTTTGCACAATCCTATTCTGCTTTGGCCCCTGTCGAATAGGTCACAGTTGAGTTCACAACAAGGTTCATTGTCTGACCATTCTCACCAAAGCAGCCTAGCTCTACCGATAAAGGTTTAGACAGTTGAACTACATCCGCATTGTTCTATCGTCGGAAGGATGTATTGTACCTCAAATGTTTTGGATTCCATTAATCCTCTTCCGTTGTTTCTACTGTGTATGTGTGTCTGGCGGGGTGAGAAGTGACTTTGATCTCATTTGAAAACGCGTACCGCTTTTATGTATTCTTTTGGCACACGAAAAAATGAATCATCTTTCCTGCGCCCCGCTGAGTATTCTTGTTTGCTGTTTTTTATTTTCGCTGATCTAATGACTTCCACGGGCTCACGCTACTTCGATTATCTCCCGATCTTTCGTCTTGCATACCTGGATTCGATCTTATTATCGTAACTTGACTGCATAAAAAATTGATATTTTCTATTACTCATCGCTATACATGGTCTAGTATAGTGTGCTTCTGACCCTACTATAAACAAGCCATGGAATAGAGTACTTCCCACTGACGTAAGCTTTGTTGTAATATTTTGTACTAGTGTATATTTTACCATCGACCCATGCTCTTAATTCATTGCAATCACCTCTGGCGTTTTCCACTGATGATACTCAGCGAAAATCGTACTTTCTCTGAACAATGTACGACTGGCTTACCACACTGGATTCTCTGATCCCTGATTTTCGAAGTACTCCAATGGTATACTTTGTACGTTGCAACAGTATAAGGTTGCGAATTGCGAATTCCATCGTGTACGGGGTCATTGAAGCGTTAACTGAAAAGCTGGAAAGTCTTAAACAGCTGTTGTTGCCTGGTTGGGTCTCCGCAGTAGCGCGAATTCAACGACCCAACTGGGAATCGAAGCCCGGACCTCATTGATAGAACGGAAGCCCACTTACCCACTGGGTGGCTGATTAGATCGACAGACACATTGATTATGGGTATTTTCTGTGCAGATCACGTTGATTTTGGAGCAGTTATATTCAACCCAAAACACTTGATGTTTTTATTGAAATCTTTTCTTGTTGTTGTTGCTCATAGTTTCTCTCTCTACATTCTGCTTTGCACTGACCATATCCTTCTCAACTTGGTTGGCACCAACGAGAACAGAAACCCCTAAACCCCACAGAACCGATTACCCACAAGGTTACATCACTCATTATCGATTTACAGGTAGGAGAGTTGTGAGATTGGTCAAAATTTCGTTCACTACACCTCGGATTATCACAGTTTGGGGCGTGTTTGCCAAGATTGTGCTAACCGACGTTTGTATTGTCCTTTTATGAGGCCTAAGTGAGGGGTCGTGATTATTAGGGTCTTTCAATCTATGGGTAGAAAGAAAGAAGACCTTATCCGACTATAGTTATCGACAGGCGCATCTCAGATGTAGCTGATAAGGCGATGAGAAGAGAGTACGATAGGCTTTTGTTGGGTTGTATTGTATGGTATTGTATTGTATTGTGTATAACTTTTGCAAGCACTGGAGCTCACATTTCAGTTAAAAAGCATACACGCTAACCGTCACAATGTACATAATCAACGGGGAGAAAAGTTTTCACAGGCATGAACACATTCATAATCCAAGGTTAAGACAAAGTTCACTCATTGTTCGCTCTTTGTTTCAGAGTAGACGAGCAAGATACGGTATGGGTGAATTGCGGTATGCATTAATTCGAGATGAAATTCGACGAAATTGGGAGCGTGTTGAATGATGGGAATGACAAAGTGTCAGTTCTACATACAATGGGTGGTCCGGATCTGTGAGGATCCTCTCGGCAAATTTCACACAGGAAGTTACGTGATACTCGGAAAGCTTTACAGCTAATTTATTCACAGGAATGGAAGAGACACGACTAATAATGGTTAGACCGCGTCGTAAGACTTTGAAGTCCTGTTTGAGTAAACCAGGAAAAATAACCGGGGAACAGTAGAGTAAGATGGGGAAAACACATTGATAAGCAAAAGTAGAAATAACTGACTGGGATGCGCGAAACTGCCTGAGCTTTCGTATTTGAAATGAAAGGCGTCGCAGTTTACCAATGCAGTTGTGGATGTGGGTTGATCAATGAAGATTACTGTCTATGGTTACACCAAGATATTTGACAGAATTCACCCTGGATAAAGGATTGCTATTAATCACTGCGAGGTCTGTCGGATATGGAGAGCGAGCAAAACTATTTTTCATTTTCATCCCTTCATCCAACTGAAACTGACGGTCACCCATAACTAAACTGAAAGTAATCGTTACTATCCGTTTCATCCGTACTACCTTTTAATATGTGAAAAGATAAATGGGTGCAAAGTTCATACAGTTCTTCAGTTTGCCGTGCTTTCATTCAACAGGAAATGCACATGTATACAGACAAAGAAGCATACGAGTTAAATTAGGTTATTTATAACGGCGTAGACAACAAACGAGTTGGGTTTGGGTCACGGGATACTATCAAGCTAGACAGTTGAATTTGATATATTAAATGAATATTTGTAATGGTTGACTGTTTAAGTTGTCTACCCCACGGGAAGAGTGCATGTGTGAAAGTCAGGCTGGCTTTAGACCTGGTCGAGGATGTATCGACCACGTCATCACTCTTCTCCAAACTCTGGAGCACCGACATCCTTTTCGTAGACACATCATCTCTATCTTCCAGAATCTCAAAGCGCCTTTCGACTCAAATGAACGCTCTACACTCTGGCACTGCGTTTCCCTGATGTACATTGTTCGATAACATGAGCAGCAATCTACACGGATGGTTTGGGTTCTGCAATAATTGATGCGTCAAAATCAAGTTAACCCGAGTTCGGCGGTACTGAGCAGAATATAGTCCCAATGATCGTAATCTCTCTTCATATGTCAGGTAATGCAATCCCTTGACCATATTAGTGGCAATCCTTTGTGGACACTCAAGCATCTTGCGATCACGTCGAAGGCATGGACTCCAAGCTTGGATGGCGTACTCTGTGTAGGATCGAATGTACGCTGATAGTAAACGTGGGAATAGTGATGATTCAAACCGGCCAAAGACTCGTCGAAGTAAGCCAACATTCTTCGTAGCAGCAGACGAAGCTTTCGCACAATTGATGGTGCAGCTTAAATCCTGTTGAAGAGCAATACTTAAGTCCTTTTCCCTAGAAGTATGGAG